ACTTATTTAAATATGAGAATATACTAATATACATAATGAAATAATATTTAATATGAAAAGATCTTCATAATTTTTGAGTCGGAGGAAACATGATGTTATTAATATATCTTCCCATCTCATCATCAAAAATATTAAAAAGAAAATTGAAACACTTAGTTTTATATTATTTGCATGAGAATTCAAGAGCATTAAATATAATAGGGTTATTTATTTAAAGAAAAGTAAACATATATTTTGCATTAAAATGCTTACCTATGGGCATTTAGCTCAGTGGTTCTGCCTCACAAACACAAGGTTCTGAGTTTGATCTCTGGTACTGAAAAAAAATTACCTAAGGTATACAATTTCTTACCTTTGTAAAGATGTAAGAAGGGTATAAGAAAGAAAGCACTTCTGTAGTGCGTGCCTGTAAGAAGAGCACTTAGGAGGCCAAAGGAGGAAAATCAAGAGTTCAAGGCCAGCTGGACTCCATAATGACAGCCTGTCTCAAAAAATGTAGAAAGAAATAGGAGTCTATTCTGCTTCTTAATTCTAATTTTATTAGTCCATACTCAGGGGGCATAATGGTTACATCCATTGTGGGGTGTTGGTACAAGTACGTAACACATCTTAACTTTAATGTCTCCTTGCCCTCCCTGTCTTTGTCCTTTTCCTTTTTGCAGAAGATCTACCTCTGTTTCCTTTTAGTACCTTTTGTTTTTCTCTGATGTATTTATATTTCGGGTTTCTCATGTATGAGGAATTATGAGATATTTACGTTGGTGTGTCTGATTTACTTCACAGAAGGGGTGTATCTACCAGCTTACTCGGGTAGGTAGTTTATTTATTTTAAAGTTGACAGCTAAAATACATACAGTTGACATAGCTAAAAACTAATTTCACTTTATGACAGTGCTATATTTTGATACATATTTATAAAGATACAAAAAGTTATTGAGTTTGTTAGAGAAAACTGTATGGAGAGCTAAATTTGAATTGACTTTTGAAGAAAACATAATATATTGGTGGGCAGACCACATGTAGAAGAAGGCACCAAAATCAGTGAGATTATTTTAATTTAATATCTGCCTAAGTACTAAGAAATGTATACCTATTTTAAATGGTCATGTGATTAAATGTTATTGTCATAACTCATGAGCAACAGGTAGTATGAGTACTGAACACTTTGTTAAGATTTACAGAAAACTCTATGGAGCTTTTGCGTTTCATAAAGTAATCATTATTTAAAATTACCAATGAAAATAAGTAAAAAAAAAGAAAATGAACAAGTTCAGTCTTGTTCTTGTAAGTCATATTTCAGGTTATGTTTACTTGGTTGACTAAGCAATTCAATGTTAGACAGCAAACTTTACTTTAGATTTATCTACACACATGTAGTAGCAGCCAATAACATAGAATAAATCAGAAAACAGCGAGTAAAAAAACTGCAAAATACACTGGTACACTAGGAGAAGTGATGAAAGAAGTCTCTAAGAAACAGGACTTCATTTGTTAATTTATGAAGTGCAATTGTTCAGCGTGTTGATTTGTTTTTCTTTTTGTTCATTTGTAATTCATTTCAAAGTAAAGATCAGAAAAGCATCATTTTTAATCATTTTCTGGTTATAGTTTTATATTCCAATAAAATAATTGGAACCTTCAGTTTTAGTAAATCTTTATCATTGTAGTTGCTATGTTCTACCTTCATTTGTCTGAAGTTAATGATGGGAAACCAAACATCAGTGACAGAGTTCATCCTTCTTGGATTAACAAATGATGTCAAGCTCCAAGCTGTGCTTTTCCTGTTCCTGCTGCTCACTTACACCTTAAGTATTATAGGAAACGTGACCATCATCATTCTGACTCTGCTGGATCATCGCCTCCAGACGCCTATGTATTTCTTCCTCCGAAATTTTGCTTTTGTGGAGATATCTTTCACATCTGTATTTGTTCCCCAGATGCTCCTTAATATTGGAACTGGAGACAGAACTATCTCTTTTGCCAACTGCTTCACTCAATACTTTTTTGCAATCTTGCTGGGAGCAACTGAATTTTACCTTTTAGCTGCCATGTCTTATGATCGTTACGTTGCTATTTGCAGACCCCTGCATTACACAACTACAATGAGCAGGAGACTTTGCATTCAGCTCGTCCTGTGTTCTTGGTTCTCTGGCTTTATAGTTGTCATGGTGCCGTATACCATGACTCTCAGGCTGCCTTTCTGTGCGGCCAACATCCTCAATCATTATGGCTGTGACTATACTATATTGTTGCATTTATCCTGTTCAGATACACATTTCATAGAAATGATTCAGTTTGTCCTTGCGGCAGTGACCCTTCTCTTTACCCTGCTCCTGGTGTGTCTTTCCTATACCTACATTATCAGGACCATTTTGAGAATCCCTTCAGTTCAAGAGAGAAAAACAGCTTTTTCTACATGTTCTTCTCACATGATTGTGGTCTCGCTTTCTTATGGAAGCTGTATCTTTATGTATGTAAATCCTTCTGCAAAGGATGCAGCAACTTTTAATAAAAGAGTGGCTCTCTTAAATACCTCAGTTGCTCCTCTGTTGAACCCATTCGTCTATACTCTAAGGAGCAAGCAGGTGAAAGTAGCCTTTAAAGATATGGTACATAAGATAATTTTTTCAAAAAAGTGAAACTACTTGAGGTTCATTATTAAAATAATAATTTTTAGAAGAGTACGGTGAAACATTACTGTACTTTAAATATACTTTATACATTATATAATTAACATTTCTGCTTGTACCCTGACACAGCAAAATGAATATGTAATTAAGGCAATTTTTTCTGTTCTCAAAGAATCCTAATATTTGTGAGTGTTCCCTAACATTTTATTTCATTTCTATTTTCTTTGTTTAGACTTAATTAAAAAAATAGACTAGGTGACATCAGAATTGCTAATATGCATTTTAACAATTTGTTTTTAAAACTGAATTTAGGAAAATTGTATCATTTGGACTTTGATCTGTATAGCTGTAATTTAGGTTCATATGGCAAAGAAACTTCTAACTTGTTAATAATAGCTTAAGTAATATGTTGAATTGATGCGAAGTTTGTTATTTTTAAATTTGAAATTCAGCTTAAAATTTAGTCTTTTTGTAGTAGTTATATAATACGTGAGTATACTCAGTGTTTAAAACTTTTAAAAAATGGAAAGTCATGTTTGTTTTAATATTGATGAAGAAATAATAAACAACTTCAGTGAATTCAGTAGAGATGATGGAAAGATTTGAATTTAAGGTAAGTAGAAATGTGTTTTTCTAGAAAATTTCACACAATGTCGTGCTGTGCCTGGCCATTGTTGTAGTTCTCATTTAATGAGATTACGAAGTAAAATCATATTAATATTATTCATTGTGTACTCATAGTGCAAATGATTTTATGCACTTAAGACATATTCCTTTGAAGTTCTTTTCTCTTTATGTTAAATCATCAGTGTTCACAATTTGATTTCCTTGATCAGAAATTCCATGACAAATAAAAAGTATTACTTTTTGAACGTTTTTGTCTATATTAATATATTAGAATTCACAGACCAGATTTTAAAATTAATTAATCTGTAATTATTAAATATTCTAGCCCTTAAAGCATTTATATGAAGATACTATGGATGAGGGCTAGAGAGGTTAACAAATTTTTCTAAACTCTATAATTAATGAGTGCCAAGTTCTTAGTCTTGAAGTCTTTATGTTTCCATTGAATAAAAAGGGAAGATTTAACATGTAGCACAGATACTAATATAATATTGCTAGAAACTGTAGAAGAGAAAGTTGAGTTAAACTGTAGAATTTGACACTCCCTCTGTACCAATCCATAACTATGTAAAAATTCACCTCAAGATGTAGCATTTAACTGTTAATGAATCATTTTGTTTATGACAGGTAAGTGCTTGAATCTCTAGGTCTCTTATTTGTTTTCTTTGTTGTTGTTTCACGCACCACCATCAGAATGTTAATCACAGTCATGCAAAATATTCTCACCTTGTGATAGTTGCTCAATTAAAAAAGATAACTTAAAGAATTATATATTTCTCCACATTTAACTAGAGTTTTTTCTTTAGAAAGACACAAATGTACACACAAGACACAAAGTATTTATTTTTACTACTATTTTATTAGTACATGTTTACTGTGCATAATGGTTACATTCATCTTGGGAAACTGGTGCACATACATATTGCGTGTGGATTACTTTTCCTCCCCTTTGCCTCCATCCCTCCCTTCTCCGTCCTCCCCAGAGTGCCTTTCCCATCTCCACAAAGTCTACTCCCTCCTTCCCAACATTTCTTTTTTATTTTGGGATAAATTATTTATGTTTGGGGTATTAAATATTAGAGAAACCACATGATATTTAACCTCCTGTGGTTGATTAGTTTCACTTAGTGTTACAGTCTCAAGAATCATTCACTTTCCTGGGGCTGGGGATTTAGCTCAGTGATTCCGCTGCCTCTGTCTCATAAGCACAGGGACCCGAGTTCGATCCTCAGTACCATTTAAAAAATCATTCACTTTCCTATAAACACCCCAAATTTTTCTTTTGTATTGCTTAGTACTGCATTGTGAGAATATATATGTTTTCTTTATAAATTTATCCGTTGATAGGTATATATGCCACTTTCATAATTTAGCTATTGTGAATTGTGCTGCTGTGAACATGGGAATGAATGTGTCACTGTAATATAAAGACAACTTATCCTGGAGAGATCACCAGAAGAAGTATAGCTGAGTCAAATAGAATTTCAAGTTTTAGCTCTTTGAGGAATCTTAAAACTTATTTCCATAATCCTTGCACTAGTTTAGAGCCCTACCTGTAAAGTAGCAGGGTTTCTTTCTCCCGACAATCCCTCTAGTGTGTGTGGTGTTTGAGCCTTTGATAGCAGTCATTCTTGTTGGGATAAGATGGAATCAGTGTTCTTTGATCTGCATTTTCTAATGGTCAACGTTGCTGAACACTTTTTTCATGTACCTATTGGGCATTGTACTTCTTCTTCTTTTTTTTAAAATATGGAACGCTTCACGAATTTCTGTGTCATCCTTGTGCAGGGGCCGTGATAATCTTCTCTGTATCGTTCCAATTTTAGACAGTGCTGATGAAGTGAGTAGGGGAATTTGTGCTTCTTTGTCAATGTGTACGTTCGTTTCCATTGTCCACTCTTTGATTGGGTGTTTTGTTTGGAAGGGTTTCTATATTTTCAGTTTCTTAATACACTCTAGATATCAGGTCTCTGTGAAGTAGCTGGTAAAGAATTTTTCTTGTTATGGAGGTTGCTTCATTTATTTTCATTAAGCTTACTGGCACATTTTAGGTAAACAATACAGTTATATTCGTCATTAGGATCTTGAACCATTACATGACATATCTTGGTTTGTAACTTTTCCCCATTTCCTGTTCTCCCTAAGCCCCTCCTCCCTTCCCTACTTACAAAGACTTTTTTCCATTTTTTTTTTTACTTTTCTCGTATTTTTTCTTTTCGCTCTTTACCTTTCCCCTACCATTCCCACTTCCCCACCTCTTTAGGCCCTTTCCTCCTACTACACATTGTCAATTATACATTTTAATTCTTATTTACACTTTTAGTTTTTCACAGCATAGAAACTATTCAATATTTATGTATGTCAGTGCTATTAATTTCACTTAAGAATATGGCCTCAATGTGCATCTGCTCATCTACAAATGTCACTAGTTTCTCATTCTTTATGGTTGAGGAATATTCCATTTTATTCAAAAAAAAAAACCAAAACAAGTTCTTTAGCTAGTCTCCACTTGATGGGCAATTGGGCTGTTTCAAAGTTTTAGCTATTACAAACTGTGCCACTATAAACATGGGTGCACAGTTATCATTGTGGTATGAATCTTTTCATTCTTTTGGGAATAGTCTCAACAAAGGAATAGCTGGGTCAAATGGGACTTCTCATTCTAGTTGTTTGAAGTAACTCCATATTGATTTCCACAATGGGTGCACCAGTCTGCACACCCACCAGCAAAGAAGAAGGGTCCCTTTCTGTCCATAACTCTGACAACATTTGTTATTCACTGATTTCTGGATATCAGGTATCCTTTCTCAGGTCATGTGGAATCTCATTGTTGTTTTCATCTGCATCTCTTGAATGACCAGTGGTGTTTAACATTTTTTCATGTTTATTTGCAGCTTTTACGTCTTTGTCTCCAAAATGTCTGTAAATTTCAGATGCCCATTTTTGAATTGGGTCTTTATATTTGGGTGGTCTGATTTTTTTTTAGTACTATGTTTATTATGGATAGCAGGTCTTTGTCTGAGGAATAGCTGGTAAAAAAATTTTTTCCCAGTTGTAGGTTGTTTTTGTGAAGTGTTGGTGGTTTCCCTTGCAGTGAAGAAACTTTTAAAGAGATGGCATCCCAGTTATTGATAATTTGTGCTGGTTCCTAAGCTACTGAGGATTTGTTTATAAAGTCTCTTCCTGTGCCAATATCTGCAAGAGTTCTACCTAACTTATCTTCCAGCAAGTGTAGTGTTCCTGTTTTAATATTTAAATCTTTAATCTACTTGGATTTTAGTTTAGTGCATGGTGAAATATAAGGGTCTAATTTTAATCTTTGGCAAGTTGAGATCCGGTTTTTGCAACACCTGTAGGTTCTCACTTAACTCTGTTGGTTATTTCCTTTGCTCTGCAGATTTTCAGTTAGATAAGATATAATCCATACATTGATTCTTGGTATTGTATTTCGTATAACTGGGGTTCAGAAAGTGTTTGCCTCTGCCTATAACCTCAAGAATTTTAACATTGTTCCTTCATAATGTTTGAACATTTATACCTCAGTCTTTATTCCATTTTGATGTTGTTTTAATACAACATCACGGGAGACATGAACAAGAGTCATTCTACAGAATGTAGATAACCAGTTTTCCTAGAACCCTTCATTTTTGAATTTATTTTCTTAAATGCCTTATGTCTGAAAGTACAGTTATCATATGCAGAGTTAAGTACCTTAAGGCAAATATAAGAAAGACTGTGCCACTTTCAAATTGAACTACATAATGATGTGCATTAGCTGCTCTTACCATAATGAAGGTTTAAATTGCATTATTATTACATTATTATTTAAGATACTACCTTATTCAGAGACTGGTGCTGTGTGAATTTCAACTTGGTAGTTATTTCTTCAGACTTTGTAGTCTTGAAGAATCAGCTACCAATACAACATGGGCGAACAAGAAATTTAAATATTTATTATTAACCTGTAATCTTAACAATTATATTAAGATTTCTTTGATATGCTGTTCTTTTGCCCAAGCAGTCATTAGTTTCTATATATTTTTTTGATGTGTATGCAATCATAGTCACCAATATTACACTGTTTACTTGTGAAGAGAAATTAAGTAACACAGACAAATGTAGGTTTAAATGGGTCCTGGCTTTCTTTTTTGATCACAGCAGGTAGGCAGCACTAATCCCCTGGAGATCATTAGCCATTGGGCAAGAAATGCAACAGGATTTGGGACAGAGAGAGAACCCAGGCTCTAATTAATGTGAGAGCCTTGCTTGTGCCAGTCCTGCCAACCACCACCCAGGGAATCACTTTAACCTTCAGTGGGATGCTCCTTGCTCTCCACCCTTTACACACACACACTCACACACGCACTAATCCTAGTGGCTTTGTCTACACCACAGAGATTAAGAAATGAGAGTGGAGCTGACAATATGCACAAATTGCCTGCATGTTCCATAAATAAATGAGAGTTTAAGCCAATGAAGGTGATAAGGAGAGGAATCTAAGGAGGAAGACAAGAGCCTGGAGACAGCGGAAGTCCAGGGAGTCGACTAAAGAGGAAGTTGGATGGGGAGGAACTCTAACAAACTGTTGCCAGTGAACGTGGGCTGCAGGTGATTAACAGTCAAGATAAAACTGTTTGTCATGCTGTAATGTCAACTCAAACCTTGGGCACGAGCCTGTGACATGGCAACTTCATAATGGTTGTACTCATGGTTAGAACAAAAGTGAGGGAACTGATTCTTGCATCTGGAGGGATTCAGAGATGGCTGCAGGGAACAAAGTGCCAAGGAGCTGGTAGTTGTTGAAGAAGAGGATTCACAGGGAAAGATGGTCCTAAGAATAGAGCCCCTACGGACCCACAGATGTTGAGGGGAATGAGCTAGATTTGCCCTATATAAGATTTTTTTATATATTTAAAGAAGATATGAAATAAGACTGGAGAACAAGGAAACTTAAAGCCTTGAGACAGCTGTGTTTGTAAATACACAATTACAGCAGGTATATACCGCAAGGTTACTTACTTACAGAGAAATGTAAAGCCAGAGAAGAAAAGATTCATCCTGGCCTCTCTATATAGAAAGCAAGCCAATACACACAGCCTGTTTTCCTCCTTTCTTCCTGTCAGTCTTATGAACCTAAGTGGAAAGCCAGCCACCAGTGGTGGATTAAATAATGGTCAACTTGTGACATCCAGCTGAACTGAATCAGCTTGGTCTGGGTGTGGGTGTGGAAGATCCACCTGAGGATTGTTACCAATAGCCATAAAAGGAGAACTGGAAGGGAATATGGCAGGCTGTTAATTTTCTAGGAGACGCTTGCTGTGGATCATTTTCCTGATGTGAATGAGGCTGTCTGTTTTCATCAGAGGAGCACAGGGCCTCACTGTTGCTAATAATGGCCGCTGTTTTGTCAGGAGAGCTTTGATCTTCACCATGAGCTGCACTTCCTGGCTCCAATGTAGATCTCCCAGCTTGGTGGTACAAATCCTTTATCCCACTAGCATAGGTTTTCAGGTTTCCACCACCGGCCATGGGCCTTCAGGGTACAGATGCTCAAAAGGACAAACATAAGACATTGCAATGGGCTCTAGACCACTGGCTGGGTTCATCGAGGACACTGCCTTGGACTCCAGGCCTTCAGCTTGACTTCTGTGGGTCATTGCTGTGGAGTCCAGTCCCTCACCTGGATTCTTTGGGCCTCTAGTGTGTGGTTAATCTCTTACACTCCTCTGTATTTCTTCTTTCGGGTAATTATCATAAAATAATCCTATAATTTTGTGTCCTGTATTTCATGTATTCCCTTACCAAAACCCTAACTACAACACAACCTAAGCCACTTGTCCTTCAAGTCCCTCAGAAATCTTAATAAAGCTAAATCTTTCCATGTATCCAGCTGGACCATTCTTTTTTACCACCTCCCTCCAGGAAGAAAGGTAGGAAATGATGCTGCACCCAAAAGAAAACAAGCAGGAAGGTAGCCAGGCAGGAGTTGTGGCCATTTGTAGTATTTCAGGACACAGTGACCCCCTGAGGTTCCTGGAATCTCAGCAAGGAACGGGAATGCTGTGTCCTTCATGCCCACTGGACAGCAACCTTGTTCCCAACCCCTGCTTAGCAGAAACTTAAAACTCCTGTTTGTCCAAGTCTTTTCCATGAAGAACTGGCAGTGCATGTATCAGGGCTTGACTCCTGGTGCCTCCAGGGATTAAAGGAATGGGCCAGGAGGACTGGAAGTTGGCAAGGACCCGGACCCATTCAGGCCCATCAGCACTTTAGGACTGTCTCCAATTTCCAAAAGTATACAAGGTAGAGCTCTGAGCTAGTAGCCCCCTTTCCCCTGTCTAGAACTCCATCTCATAACAGTCTTCCCCAAAAGATCCCAGTTTCCAGCAGTTTCCTCCTCTCCACATCTGTGTCATTCTTCATCTGTGCACATCTCCAAAATCAATTCCACTAGGTTCATTTGTCCTGGCTTTGCCTCTCTACTTCTATAGCCCGGATTCACAGTAAGCATTTTCTAGCATAAGACCCTCACTTCCACCTCTACTCCTTTTTAATTCTATCACACAGATTTCTCCTTCAGGAAGTCCCCTAAGATTCATCGTCTCCCCACAGTTTTCCAGGATTTAGTAATACTCAGAAATCCGTGTGGGACAGTTCACCCAGTGGATAAGTGGAGGCCAAGTCTACCTGCCCTGTCCCATTTCCCAGTATCTCCCCTCCTCCTTCCACCCCACACTTCCCGGAATCTCTCCCAGACACCTTGATCAGAGAATCAGCTGGCCCCTAGACAGTTTATTTCCACTTCATGTTGAGCTCACTGTCTCTTCACACCTGCTTGACCTCCCT